GTCTAGTTTTTTTCATAATTTTTTAAAGATTTATTTGTTTGAAAGAGTTAGGTAGGGGAAGAAACAGGGGGAGGGGGGAGAGGGAGAGAGAGAGAAAGAGAGAGAGGTGTCTTCCATCCACTGGTTCACTCCCTAGATGGCTGCAATTGTTGGAACTGCGCCAAAGCCAGTAGCCAGGAGCTTCTTCTGGGTCTCCCACAAGGGTGCTGGGGCCCAAGGATTTCAGCCATCTTCTACCGCTATCCCAGGCCATAGCAGAGAGCTGGATCAGAAGTGGAGCAGCTGAGACTCAAAGCAGCACCTATATAGAATGCTGGTACTGCAGGTGGTGGCTTTATCTGCAATGCCACAGTGCCGGTCCCTGTATTAGTTTTTTATGGGTGGTTGAATCAAAGTGTCAAAAACAGCTTGACAGAAAACACTAGGCATTCTGAGGGCTGTGAGTCTGAAGTCCAGTTGTTGGGAGGACCATGCTGTCTGAGGGCTCTAGGGGAGAATCCTTCCCTCTCTCTTGCGGCTTCTGCTGTGGCCAGGTACCCATGGCATTCAGTGGTTTGTGTAGCTCTATCCCTTCATTTGCGAGGCTGTCTTCACCCTGTGTATCTTCACATCTTCCCTCTCTTTGCATTTTTCACCCGAATTTCCCCTTTTCATAAAGACCCCAAGGATAGTGGGTTTAGCAGCTGCCCTGATGACCCTATTTTAAGTTGATTACCTCTGTCATGGCCGGATTTCTCACTAGAGCCACATGCTGTGGTCCAGGGGATCAGAATTTGAATATATCTTGTTTGAGGTTCATACAATTTAACCCCTCTTATTGTGCAGTAGTATCCCATTGTTTGAATAGATCTCAGTGTAATTTTTTTAAGATTTATTTATTTATTTGAAAGAGTTACACAGAGAGAGAAGGAGAGGCAGAGTGAGAGGTCTTCCATCCGCTGGTTCCCTCCCCAGTTGGCCGCGAGTCTCCCATGCTGGTGCAGGGGCCCGACGACTTGGGCTATCTTCTACTACTTTCCCAGGCCATAGTAGAGAGCTGGATCAGAAGTGGAGCAACCGGGACTCGAACCAGCGCCCATATGGGATGCCGGCACTGCAGGCAGTGGCTTTTACCCACTACGCCATGGCACCAGCTCCAGATCTCTGTATTTTTATCCATTCTGTTGATGGCCAACGGAACTGGTTGCAGTGTTGGGCTACCATGAACAAAGCTGCCAGAAGTATGCCTGTGAATGACGTTTTCCCTTGCTCTGCGTTAACTACCTCAGAGTGAGATTTCTCGATGACAGGTAAAGTATGCGTTTAGTTGTAGAAAGAACTTGGATGGTTTTTCTGAAGCAGTTGTGCCATCTTTTTGCCCATCCACAGTGTGCGAGAGTTTCGGCTGCTCTACACTGTCGCTGTCACAGTGTCAAGGCGGTTAAGGGGTGTTAATTTTAGCTGTTCTGCGGCATGTGAGATTTCATCACTCCTTAATTTCAGAATGTCCATTTTATTGTTTGGACTTAACTATGAGCTTTCTGCTTCATTTCTCTTGGCGTCTCCAGCACTCTTGAAATCCTCACATTATTTTAACGTCCATATCTGAGAATCAATGTGGGGGTCAACTGTGCATCTGTTTCTGTTGTCCCATTTTCCTTATCTTTGCCTTAGATACCTGGTGATACTTTGCTGAAAGACAGAAATGATAAAAATGACAGTGTTTCTAGAAAATGCTCTTTTCCTGGAGAGAGGATTTCCTTAGTTCCGGGAGGCAATTAACACAGTCATGGGTTGCTGTATTCCAAATAGAGATTGAGTTTGTTCTCAGGATTAGTCTTTTTGGGCCAGACTATTGCTGTTTAACCTCACTCTTGGACTGTAGCCCTTCTGGGGTTCAACTGAAGGCTGTAGTTTCATCAGAAGCATATCCTTTTGGTATTCCTTTAATTGCATTTTTAAGCCTCCCAGAATGACCTGGATTCTTCATCTCATCACAGCTCCTTTCTGCTTCTCTGCTGGCTTACACGTCAGCACATGCCTCAGGGGGAAAGAGGCTCAGCCTCTTAGGGTTCAGGCCTTTGAACCCCTCTCTCTCGGCTCTTGGTCTCTCAGGTCCTGGCTGCTCTGGGGTCCTAGAACTCTAACTCCAATCTTACTAAACCCACGATCCTGTTGAAGCTCTTTAAAACCAGTATCTGTTTAAAGCAAAAACAATTACAGCAGATTACAGATCACATAAGAATGCAAATAATTCAGTGGAAGTTAAATGAAAGTATACTGATATATACTTCTTGGATTCTTCTGTAAGTAATATGTATGACTTCAAGTGATAGTGTGGTAGGTGTGCATAGTGTGATCTTTAGGATAACCACAAAACCATACTTGTGCCCCCCCCCCCAAACTATTGCTAACAAGTGGATAGAGTAGATAAAATTGAATTATAAAAGTATTCTATTCTGTAAACCCAAAACAAGATAGAAATAGTTGAACAATATAACCAATAGAAAATAAATATCAAGATGGTAGAATTAAATTGAACTGAACAGAATCATACATCTATTAGTAACTGGCCTGAACTTTCTGTTAGAAAGAAAATAGACAGGCTCACAAGTGAGATCCACTTACGTGTTGTCTGTAAGAAACATTCTGTCATGTCTAAAGACACACTCAAGTTACACTTAAAGGGGTAGAAGAAATAGATCACTGGGCCAGTATTTTGTTATGGCAGGTTTAGTTGCTGCATCCCATATCAGAATGCCCGTTCAAGTCCCAGCTACTCTGCTTCTGATATAGCTTCCTGCTAATGTACCTGGAAAGGCCGCAGAGGATGGCCCAACTGCCTGCGGCCCTGCCACCAACATGGGAGTCCAGAATGGAGTTGATGGGTTCTGGCACCAAGACCTGTTGTAGTCATTTGTGGACTGAAGCCACAGGTGGAATATCTCCCCCTCCCCGTTCTTTGTCTATTGCTCTGCCTTTCAAAACCAACCAACAAATAAATCTTTAAAAAATACGGTACTCAAACAGTAAGCATAGGAAAGCCCCTGATGATGATATAAAATATAAATGTACATAATGACACTGCAATTCCATTTTTAAGTATTAATTGAGAAAAATAAAATAATAATGGCTAAAATTTGAAATAATGCAAAGTTCCATCAATAGGAAAATGGATGAAGAAACTGTTGCATATTTATACAATTGAATAGTTCCTAACCACAAACAAGAAGGAACTTTGGACATGGCTACATCTCAAAACTAGTATTTGCATGAAGGAAGCAAGATAGCAAGGAGTACTTACATACAGTTTCATTTTTGATGAGTTCCAGGAATAGGCAGCTACCTTCCATGCTAGCAGAAGTCACTAAATATCTACTTTAAGGAAGACAAATTCACTGTAAATGGCACATGGTGAGATTTCCCAGGCTGACAAAAACGCCCCAATAACGTTATTTGCATTTTATTTATTCCAAATGTAGAACTGGGCATGTGGCCATGTCCTTTAATGGATCAACTAGTACCACAAATAATTAAGTATATTATTGAAACTATTATAAAGTTCAGGATATAATTGCCTTTTTGCAATGATGGTAGTTATCAATAACTTTTTTTAATATTTATTCTAAAGGTACACTTACAGAGAGAGAAGGGGAGAGACAGAGATCTCCTGTCTGCTGGTTTACTCTCCAAATGGCCACAGTGGTCAGGGCTGGGCCAGGCCAAAGCCAGGAGCTTCATTCAGGTCTCCCATGTGGATGCAGGGGCCCAAGGCATTGGGCTGTCCGTTCCTTTTAGCAGAGAGCTGAGTCTGAAGTGGAGCAACTGGGACTCCAACTGGTACCCGTATGGGATGCCAACACTGCAGGTGGTGGCTTAGCCCACTATGCCGGCCACTCACAGAACTCTTAATGTTAAGTTCATTATACGTCTCATAACACATATCCAAGATACTGGATAGGCAAGGGTGGTTGCATATCAAAACTACACCAGCATTAAATAAAGAAGCCATTGACTCAGACTAAAGTGAGTTGAATACATCATTATTTTGTAGTGTATGCTGCAAGAAAACTTGAGCCCTCTGGTCACCCAAAGAATCTTAAAATTAAGAGTATTTTCAAAGATTTAAAGTAAAGAGAAATGTAATGTATGAACAGGTAGAAGCTCATAATAGAAAATTGGAAGCTATAAAAAATTAGAAGGAAATTTGAAATATGAAAAAAGGTATTGAAATTCATAGCAAGAGATTAAAGATTCAGAAAAGATTCAGTTGGTGTGAAGATAATAGAAGAAGGCCAACCAAAAAGCATAAAGAAAAAATAAAAAGAGGTATCAAGACATTTAACAAACATGGAACTAAAAGCATGGAGAAGGAGAGAAAAAACTGGGTTAGCAAAAAACATTTGAATGGTCAGAATTTTTCCAAAATAAAAAAAATTATGAAAGATTACTTTTGTAGGCCAAAGTTCAGTGTAACTTGCAAAATGATGTTTCCTTATTCAGAAAACTAATTTGCTAGTTTAGAGTTGCTACTGTTAAACAGCTGCCGTGAAAAATCAACGACATGTAAATTATATGCTTTGACTGTTTTTGACCTGTGAGTAAAACTGCAGATTTTCCTTATGGCCACTTGTGATTCTCGCCTCCTCATCTGCTTTGCCACTTTCCAGAGTTCTGTCTACCAAAGATTAGTTATACTTTCCTATAAACAGAATAATACAGTAGGAACTGCTTTGTGTTTTGTTTCATTCACTCATTATTATTTAGAGGTTCATCCATGTCGTTGAGACTATTAATAATTCATGCCTGTTTATTGCTACATAAAGTAATTCTCTTTAGTGAATTATTAAAACTGGTAAAATTAAGCTGTGGTGATAGAGATTAGAAACATGATTGCCTCAGCAGGAAAGGGTGAGAAGACGGCCTGGGAAAGGCCAGGAAGGTTTTTGTGGAGTGGGTACTGTGTAAGTGGGTGTGTGCGTTTGTCTGAGCCCATTAACTCTACACCTGTTTCGCTGTAGATAATCTACACCTCCACGAAAGCAAAGAGAGGGCAGAGTGTGAAGAACATCATCAAAACTGCCCAGTTGCCAAACTCGCTTGTTAATAGTCTCACATGGTGAGTCAGTGATTTCTTTTTCTTATTTCTGTGTTCCTAGAAGTATTAACTGTTGACTTATTTTTAACCTTTTCTCTAAGGGGAAATATATGAAAAGCTTATTTCATGACGAACTTTTTCAAAAGTTTCTAAGATCAATTGTGACTTCCGCAAAGTTTTCTCTGTAGAAATAAAATCTGTGCCCCAAGTTGCATGTACATATGATGTTGCCCATTATATTCTGTTCTGCTCTGGAGCTGCTAATGGGGAAACATCATTTATACACACACACACACACACACACACACAATGTGTCCCTTATTAGTGCAGAACAATTTAATAAGCGTCATTTTATCATACAGAAATAATTCTTTAAAAAGATTTATTGATTTATTTATGGTGAAGTGAAATATAAATGTATCTATAAATTTGAAAGAGAGTTACAGAGACAGAGAGAGAGATTTTCCATCTGTTGGTTCGGTCTCCAAAGGGTCACAATGGCTGAACCTGGGTCAGTCTGAAGCCAGGAGCCAGGAAGTCTCTCTGAGTCTCCCTCATGGGTGACAGGGGCCCAAGCGCTTGGCCATCCTTCACTGCTTTCCCTGGCACATTAGCAGGGAGATGGATTGGAAACGCGGTAAGCAGGACTTGAACCATTGCCCCTAAGGCATGGAGGTGTTGCAGGTGGTAGTTTAACTCTGTGCCACAACACCTGCCCCTGGAGGTAAATTCTATCCTAAAAAAGTAAGTAATATTCTAAGTGTGGGCCTCAAGGTACAGCAGGTTAAGGTACTATGTGCAGTTCTACTGGCGCCAGTATCAGAGCACCAGTCCAAGCCCAGCTCTCTGCTAATGCACCTGGGGAAACAGCAGAATGTGGCTCAAGTAGTTGGGCCTTTGTGGGTCACTCAGGTGCATATCCTGGCTCCTGGCTTTGGCCTGGCTCAGCCCTGGCTGGCACGGGAATTTGGGGAATGTACCACCAGGTGGAAGATCTCTCTGTGTCACTCTGCCTTTCAAATAATTAAAACAATCGTTTTACAAAAGTAACGTCCAAGTTTAACTTACGACTCAAATAATTTCAATTAAATAACCTTGCAAACAAATAATTGAAATTTAGGACTTCATGTACACATTGAAACATTTGTGGATTGTATACGTAAGAATACCTGTTATATTTCATGTGTTTTTCCCACTCCAGGTTATCTTTGAGATTTTCAATAATAAATGTTAGCCAGTATAGAAAACTTAATACATTTTGGTGTGGTATACTAAAAGAAATTCATTATTAAGCTGTATATAATTAAGCTATTCTCAATATTGCTGTATTTTGGAGTACTCAGTGTTACCCTGGATGTTTATTCAATATTAAGCTATGAATATCCTTCAAAAATCATGGAAAAATGCAATTAAAAATTATTTTATTCTGATAAAAATGCATTTAAATCCATGAGTAGTTTTTGTTTCATAATAAACACTTTTTTATGATTTCAATTTTTTTGCACCAAATAAACTGAAATTTTAATTTCATTTTCCCTTGATTTTTAAAAAATATACCCAATATTGGAGTAACACTGAGTACTCAATATTAGGCTCATTGTTGTGAAGTATAGCTGGGTGCATCCTAAGGAGAGGGCCGCTGGTCTTTTAGCCTGCTGGTGCGTGGGCTGCTGCTGGCGATAGATTCTTTCCTGTGTGTGTTCATCCTTCATTTGGTTTAAGAGCTACTCACTGGCAGAGAGCAAGGAATGCACAGTTTGGGGCCTGAGCATCTTTGAGAAATGATTATTCATCCAGAAAAACAAGTCTCTGGCATCCTTGGCTTGTTTGCTTCTGTACGGTTTGAATTGCTATTTTCCCATGAGACCCTCAATAAAATAACCCCCCCTCGATCTGAACTCATCCCCTTACTTGTTGATCTTCCTTGCAGATCCCATTGGCCGACCCTGTGACTCAGCCATGGCCGACTCGGCAGCCTGTGCTCCAGGCCGAGTCACTGAGCTCCGTCTCTCTTGGGGGCTTCTCCTTGCCTGCCTCACCAGCCTGGCAGGCTGTCGGCCGAGCAGCCCCTCTCTGAGCCCGAGCCCCCAGTGCTGCCCCTCCTCGCTCCCCACGTGGTAGCTCTGAGCCCAAGGACTGCCCTTCTCACTCCACGCTGACCTCTTGAGGATGCTCTTCTCTACATTTCTCAAAACCGGAGGTCCTCATTGTTCCTGTCCCAGCTTCGCTGTGAGATCTTTAACAGGACCTTCCCTGGACTCTGCAGCAATGCGGCCCTTCTCCTAACCCCTACTAGGTCTTTGCAGGCATCCCCTTGATACTCATTTTCTTCATCAAGCATGTGATCCTTAATCTTGACTACCTGTTGGTGTACCTGTGCATTCGAATTGCATGGCTCCAGGGGCCACTCTGGCCTGGTGGGCTCTGTGCCCACTGGTTTTCCAGACATGCAGTGCCACCCTGCACAGCTTACCCCGGTGGCCTCCTGTGACACCAGCCCTTGATAAACGCTGCTGTTTTTGTATCCAAAACCGTGCCTGACACACAGCAGGTGCTCCAAAAACATTGTTGAGAAATCAACTCTTGAACTGAATGGATTTGAGAAAGCTAAAGGAGCTACATCCTTTATTTTAGCTATAATGTTTTCTATGTATATTGCTCTGGTGGTTTTTTAAAACAGTGAAATTAACCACTTTTCTGATATAAATGGCATGGCAAAGAACCAGTCATTTAACTGATTTGCCTAAGAAGGAAACTGCTTAAGAAAGATGTGCTCATGTTACTGCTACTTAATGGTTGTAGGCAGAATACATTTCTTAATCTGTTTCATTAACATTTGGATCTGTATTTGTGTATGGATCATAAATAACTAATGTGCTTCCAGCACGGGATATTACCAATCTTTAGAAATCTTTTGGGATAAGACCACTTCACTAGGTAAATTAGATTGCATAATAATTTATGTAAGTCTGTGAACTGAAAAATATTGCTCATTGTCAAACATTAACTATGCTGATGAAAAATAATAGCATATTTTACTTAAAAGGAAATAGAAACTTTTTTCTAAAAATTCAAGCAAATACAATACATGGAGAAAGTGAAGATTTGTGAAATGAAATGACCAGGATTATAAAATTACAGGGGGCTCTTCCAAGATGGTAGGGAGTAGAGAGGGAGCTTACTGCTCTAGTCTAGGAGAAGATAGTTTAAAAGAAGTGGAGAGAGTGCAGTCTCAGGGACAAGTTAGGGAGAAAACCACAGAGGAAACTCTACGCAAATTAGAGGGACGTGGTGGACCTAATCTCCAATTAGACTCACAGTGGACTTCTCATCAGAAACCCTACAGGCTAGGAGAGAATGGTGAGATATATCCAAGTATTAAGAGAAAAAAAAAACTGTCAATGCAGGATGCTGTACCCTGCCCTGAAAAGCTCTCATTTATGAACATAGGTGAAATAAAGACCTTCCATAACATAATAAACAGAAATTGACAGAATTTGTCACCATCTGCCCAGCCCTGCAGAAGATGCTTAAGGATGTGTTGCACAGAAACATAGAAAGATGGTCATCCCTACGAAAGAAGGATAAGGAAGAGAATCACTCAATAAAATGCCAAAGGAAATTCAAAGTAAAATATAGGAATATTTTTTGAAAAATGGCAGGACAAAGTCATTACTTATCAATAGTCACCTTGAATGTAAATGGTCTCAACTCTCCAGTTAAAGACACAGATGGGCTGAAGGGATTAAAAAACAGCCCATCTATTTGTTGCCTACAAGAAACACATATCACCAACACAGATGCACACAGACTGAAAGTGAAAGGATGGAGATACTCCATGCCAACAGAAACCAAAAAGGAGCTGGTGTAGCCATCCTAATGTCAGACAAAATGATCTTTAACACAAAAACTGTTAAAAGAGACAAGGGCACTATGTAATGAATAAGGGATCAATTCAACAGGGAAATGTAACTCTTACAAACATATATGCACCTAATTACAGGGCACCTGGCTATTTAAAGAAATGTTAAGAAATCTAAAGTGAGATAAAGCTGGAGATCAGTGACTCAGGACGCTCTGTAACATATGTAAACACGTGAAGACTGAATAACATGCTCCTGGTCACAGAAGAAATCAAAAGGGAAATGGAAAAAAATGAAAATGACAATATGACATAACAAAACTTAGGGGATACAGCAAAAACCATGTTAAAAGGAAAGTTTATAGAAATTGGTGCTTACCTCAATAAATTGGAAAGGCACCAAATAAATGAGTTATCGGTGCACCTCAAGGATCTAGGAAAACAACAGAAAACCAAACCCAAAACTAGTAGAACAGAAATAATAAGAATTAGAGAAGAAATCAATAAAATTGAAACAAAAAAAGTACAAAAGATCGATGAAAGAAAGAGCTGGTTTTTTAAAAAATAAAATTGACACACCGATGGCCAAACTAACAAAATAAAAGGAGAGAGAAGACCCAAATCAATAAAATTAGAGATGAAAAAGGAAATGTAACAACAGACACCACATAAATAAAAAGAATAATTGGAAATTACTACAAATTGCTATATGCCAACAAATTGGGAAACCTTTAAGAAATGGATAAATCCCTTGACACATGCAATCTACCTAAATTGAGCCCTGAAGACATAAAAAGCCTAAACAGACCCATAACCATGATGGGAACTGAGTCAGTAATAAAGACCCTCTCAACAAAGAAAAACCCAGAACTGGATGTATTCACTGCTGAATTCTACCAGACATTTAAAGAAGACTAATTTGAATTTTTCTCAAATTATTCAAAACACTTGAAAGAGAGGGAATCCTCACACATTTTTTTCTATGAAGCCAGCATCACCCTAATTCCTAAATCTGAAAAAGATGCAACAGAGAAAGAGAATTATAGACCAGTTTCCATGATGAACATAGACACAAAAATCCTCAGCAAACTTGGAGCCAAATGAGTAAAACAACACATCAGAAAGATCAGCCACCCAGACCAAGTGGGATTTATCCCTG